TTTATCGTGCGAGAACGCTTTCTTCTAAACCATGCTGGGGTGATATGCTTTCTTTCACGAGTCGATCTATGATGATGAATAGGAAGCGTGTGTGTAACAGCGTGAGATAAGGAGATTATCCAAATTTCATATCCTTAATTCTTCATTACTATTTTAATGGACATTAGAATTGTTTCAATCATGAGAGATTGGAGAACTGCTCAAAGACAAAGTTTGTACTGTGTTAAGATGTGCATTGAGAGGCGACAAATAATTCACCTTCTTGGTTTTTTCCTCATTGAGTGATAAAAAAATTAGAAAACTTCTTAAACTTTATTCATTCGCTGATTCTTTGCAGGTGTAGATGTTCCTTCTTTATCTCTACCAATCCATTCCACGTACATCTAAGGATAACACTTTAACTTTACTTCGCTGAGTAGAGTGAAGTAAGGCATTTAGCTAAAGTTTACCTTACTTTTTCAGAGTAAATCAAAGCCCTGCCATTATGGTACGATGAGGTTTATAAAACATCAAACTACTCTGATCGACTGACATCTTCATTCGTACTTGTTCGAACGCGCCATACTGAAAATGTGTGTGAAAGTGTTAAATTCGAACGATACTCACACTTGCACCTTATCGTCGATAGATGTTTGTGTAAATGATATTGTTCGTTGTAAAGATGGCAAGAAGATACAATAAAATCAAATAATCTTATGAATTGAGGTATCAAAGATTATAATGTGATGTTTCGAAAGGTTAAATATAAAAGAAAAACAAATGAATGAGTTGCGTTGTTAAACGTTCTGTTATAAAGCAGGCGATATCTTTATCTTTTTTTCGTCGACGTTTCGAATAGACAACTCTTCTCCGACTTTTTTTTCTATGTTCTTCTTCACCTGATAAATGACTGTTATCAAAAGGTTAAACAAAACCCGCTATCTAAGAGAGCCAGAAATGTTGGAAAAAAATGGTTTATAACGTAAAAAAATTCATATAAGAATGTGGACGGGTGTCTTTTCTCTTAGTTTATCCACCCAGTAACCTACTCTCACACCTTACACCCACATCTACATTCAAATGTTCGCTTATTACGAGTGAAAAACCTGGTAAAATTCACTCAGAGAAAAAGAACATCTCTCTCTTCTGAGGGTGTCTTCTTTCTTATTCGCGGAAAAGTGCGTGTATATTTAGATGGTGAGACAGTCAGCGATTGTGCTTATGAATAATTATTTTCTACTTGCATGGGATTTGGTTGAGTATGGGTGTGAGTGTGGGCCGGTGAGGACAGTTATATTCTTTGGCAGTCACACCCACACTCACTCTCAAGATTCATGGCTATTTCTTTTCGGATATTTTATATCATTAATTCCATCAGCACTTACTTTTATTTTATTTCTATTACCTTCGACAACATATAAATAAGAATTTAATAAAGCTCTTACCAAATATCGACGTATGATTCGAAGAAATTCATAAACATTTTCTAATCTATAAGATATTTTTTTAGTAATTCTCTTTCTCGTAGTGAAGAATCCTAAAAGAATATATTGTTTGCTTGCGTGTATGTATGTATGTCCGCACTTCGCTGATTGGCCGAAAAATAAAATGAAATTAAAAGAGATTCTTCTTCACAGAAGTTGACTGAAAGGTAATCAAGATGATGAAGGATCACGAGTCTTGAGGAATGGGTGTGGGTTAACAGTTGATATACACCCACATCCATACCCTCGAATGTTGATGATCATAAGCAAAGAAAAACAGCTGTGCCTAAGAATATTTAAATGATTATTGAAAACATATTCTATTTGTTATTGTTTTCATTTATTCTCTATGATTTTATCAGAATAAATAAATTTATTTCGATTTTCTATCAAAATTGATTTTTTTAATTAATAATGATTATTATCTTAGAAAATCTTTCCTTTTTCTTTTCAACTCATTGTCTGTTAATAGAATTAACTTCTATTTATCTATTATTCTTCTTCTTACGTAATTCGGTTTCGATATCCATAACCACGTGGTTTCGATATGAAAAATAAAATATACAAGATCATGGATGCTTCTTCTTCTTTCCATTACATCGAATTTATATCGAACAGCTAAACATATACATCCATGGTATGTAAAATAAATTGCAATCAGCTATGATTTTATTTGTTTCTGGTAGGAATTTTACGATAAATACATTCAATATATTCCAGAACGATGGTTCCTGACGCAGGATTCCATGAACTTCCGGCAAAATCCCTGAAGAAACTCGCCATTTCCGAGCGTAACCCGCCCGGAAAATGCCAGGAATCCGATGGAGAAGTGAGGTGACCGTATCCGGCTGCCGATTTTGACATGTTCCTGTCGGTTCCGGTCCAAACCAGATAAATCCGGTCACCGGATCCGTTCAACTGGAATACTGCTTCCATGAAATCTTCGGAATGCCATGGAACCGGCCGTTTCCGTGCCGGATTGTTCGACCTGGGATACAAACAAATATTCATATTGTATTTCGATTATTAATGTTTGTTGTACAATATTTTGTATTGGTTATGATATTACACTATAAAGACGTTATGATATCAGCTCAACAAACAACAGTTATGGTGATACCATTAAAAGTTGGTCTTGTGGTAGAATATTTAGATCGTTCAAGTTACTGGATCCGGTTGATATTCATTCAATTATTTCTTAATCTAACAAACTCAATTTTGTTCAAATCATTTTTATGTTTTCCATTAGGATGGATTGTTGGCACAATCATTCCATTAATTATCGACAACTTTTGGTGGACTATTACAAATAAATATCCACGAATACTTGGAAAACCAATGACAGATGAAGATAAATATAGATATTTATATGAAAATATAGCTGTTGTTACAACTGCACTTATCACGTCAATTATATCGTTTTTTATAGCAATCGGTATAATGGTGGTCATGGTCTATTATAAATGACCTCTTATTTTCTTTTCTTTTTCATCGTCTAATGTGTTCATGTTCAGCCCATTTTTGAATAAACAATAGACGACAACGATATTTTTCTCTATCAGATGATCTTTTTTTTCATATAAAAATCATTATAAAATAGTATAGTCGTGAGAAAAATTATCTCAGTCTTATCAATCAAATGTCATTTAGTGAAGAAACAAATATTTTGCTATTCAATCACTCATCGTTACATGAATATAACTTGATATTATGTATATTAAACATGAAAACTCGACTTGTTAGTTATATGTTTGTAATATATATCATTGAACATTATCTTCTCACTTGTTTATTTATTACACTGTTTTTCTTATCAGGATCTTATAATACACGTAGTAGAATGGAATATTATTTGATTACCATTATCATTATTTAATAATAATTTCAAAATAACAAATTTTACTATTCTTCGTTGGCTGATTGAAACTTCATTGATTCCACAAGCATTAATTCTAGATTTGGAACATTTTATTGATCGGTATCATTTAGATTATAATTTAAGGATAGTTGTTAAAATTCCTTTACTCATTTTTATGCGTTCTGCTGAAATACAACATAATTGTTTTATCAATTATCTTCAAATAATTATATCTCAAATATTTTGTATCATATCTTCTAAACTTTGAAAATAACATTGAGTTCCTTTAATAATTAGTTATTTTTTGATTCTTTTTTCAATAAATAATGTTCAACACAATTTTGAAAGAAAAAATCAATATCGATTTCAACAAGAAAATTTTATTTTCCCACAGATATATTCAAAAGAAGACTGAATATTTTTATAATAGCTCAACGAACAAATGAGCTGATTTGTTTTTAAATAAAGATAGAGACATGTCCATATTCAACTCCATATAGTTAAAACTAGATAGAATCTTTGTTAAATACATGTAAAATGTCAACTTATTCATCTCGATACAAAGCTTGTAAACATTTAAATGTTTATCTTAAACTTGAAATGATATGACTTCTAAATTTGATCGAACCATTTGAATATATGTCTCGAATAGACCAACAAAAATCAATATGAATCGAGTTCTGGTAAATATTTATCTTTTTTTTCTTCAAACTCAATAAAAGGAATCGATCTTTTCTTCTTTTTTTATTTATATTTGTGGAAATAAGCTTATGCATATTCATCAAAAATTAAAATTCGTTATTTTCATCTAATTTCTTCGTAAAATAACCTAATCCTTTCAGTTCCAATGGTGCCATCCGTACTTTTCTTTTTAATACCAATAAATAGAATTAAACTGAGGGTGTGGGTAATTTAAGTGAGATACATGCTCACCCACACTCTAAGTCAAACTTTAAGAAATTTGAGTAAAACATGATGATTAAGCAAAGAACTGTTAGATTTATTTGAAAAGAAAAGAAATTAAACATTTGATTGTTTTAACATCCCAATGGATGACCCTTTGGATAAATACTTCCACATCCTATTTGTATTGCTTCTTTGAGAATTGATTCATCAAGACAACAAATGTTCTTATCTGATGTACAGCATTTGACTTCCTTACAATTAATTGCACCTTCACCATTTGGACATATAAGAAACATTGTTCCAGCTGGTAAAGAATTAACAAAAAAGATACATGTTAGAATAACCATAAATAATATTAAGACTTTCATGGTCTCCAAATTGCTGATCTAAAATAATATGATATGTAGTTTAATTATAAACAGTATCATTTCAATAAAAATATTTTACCTACTCCTATTGATTTAAATATTATATTCTAGTTAATAACAGTCAGTTCACTTTCTTATATACGTAGCAATGTTCGATGGAATAGTTATTTTCTTCGCGGCCTGAATACAATGAATGACCGATACATAATACATGCATAATTTTCATTGGATACGGACACGATAAAGAATGGTGATGGACAGAATCGGTCACAGAATTGATGTCAAGTGAATATTAACGATCGATGTACAATTCTCGTTCGATCCTTGTCAGATAAATCCCCCTCTGTCTGAAAGCTTTCAAATCTACATGTTATGATGATAAATACTAGAGGGTGTGGGTGTGTATAATGGTGTATGGAAACATTTAATTCATTGATTTATTTCATCTTCGTTCATTTCAAGTCATGATGATATTACAATACAAGTATCAACTTTAAATATTCCATTGAGTGCAACTTTCAATGGTGTACCAACTTTTTAACACTGTTAGCAAATATTTTTTTGTAATTATCAAGAAACCCAAAAATAGATGATTTCTTCCTTTTTTGAGGATGTGAGCATGGATATATAAAAAGAAGACACGCTCACACCCACAATCACACCGTCAATATGATGTACTTTCTTGCTGTTAATTTAGTAAAAAAAATATTTTGGATTTTATCAAGAAATGATGATATTATAGTCAAAATATTGAACACTATTAAATATTCTGTGCCTCAAAGTGTTTGTTATATAGTTTACTCTGCGGATAAAATCCTGACTTTTTTTTCAAAAGATATGCCGTGAATATATTTATGCGTTTATTTTTATGAGTTCTTTATTGCTCGACATGATGAAGAATAACATAATAAAAATGTTTGGAAGACTTCTGTGTTGTATGTATCTCAATTGAGAAGAATGATATCACTTTAATTATTTTTTTTACAAGATGCGCCATTGGAAGCTCTATAAAAGATGATTAAACATATTTCTATTGCAAAACAAAAGAATCTTGCGAGTTTTTTTATATCCTCTGTATTTAATAGAAAAAACAGACATAAGAGTATCTGATAAATGATTATTCAATAGCAATATCAAATTTTAAGAATGATATGAGCAAACAATTCTCTTAACAAATTCAATGTGTTCAAGGTAAATATTTAATAATTAAAAATCTCGAATTATTAATCAGATAGTTCGACTGTATCCAATGAACACATTAAAAGTGTTGTGTATATAAACGACAGTAAAGACATGTCAGTAATCTTAAGGAAAACACTTATGGAATCCTTGAGAAATTTTCATCTTTTTTTTCGTGGTTCCCAGACATAAACATGAAATTTACGGTCTGAACCAGAATAAAATATTTAGAGATCCCGTAAAGAAGACTTTAGTTTTGATGTGTTTTTAGTGTGTGGGAAAGAGCTTATCTAGTAATATGATTAAAAGTACTCATAGAAGGTAATAACAAATGAGAGAATGAGAAGAAAGCTTCACAAAATAAAAGTACTAGCAGATAGAAAAAGTAAACTAAGTATTATCTTGATCTGTTAGATAGTATAAAAACAGCAATGTCATCCAATACAATTTTTATTAATTATATAAATCATCTTTCATCTGATCTTGATCGTTATCTGTCTATTGGTATTCTTCTATTTGGTACTATTGGAAATATTCTAAATTGTCTTGCGCTATCACAAAGACCTCTTCGTTCAAATCCATGTGTTTTATACTTTCTTGCTTCTTCCATTGCTAGTATTATTACTCTCATCTCTGGTGTTTTGGTTCGTTTATTATCTGGTTAGTCAGCAGATCTAACAAATACTATTAATTGGCTTTGTAAAGTTCGTGTATATATATTATTTAATTCAAGAACAATTGCTTCATGGTTGATTATGTTAGCTACTTGCGATCGATGGTTATCATCATCTATTCACACACATTATCGTCAAATGAGTACACTGAAAAATGCTCAACGAAATATAATTGCTGCTATATTTTTATCAAGTGTTGCATATGTTCAAATATTTTATTGTTATGAAGCTAATTTAACTAATGCTCCACTTCAATGTAATGGAAAAAATACTTGGTGTCGATTATTAATTAATTCAGAATTTGTTTCTATTACTGTTTTAATTCCTTCAATGACGATGTTTATTTTTGGAATTCTAACTATCTTAAACATACGTAAAGTTACTCTTCGTCCGAATCAGTCTGGAATTAAAACAGGAAACGTTCAAATAATAAATAATAAAGAACATCCACAAAGATTGAAAAAATCCGATCGATATCTACTTTTGATGTTACTTATACAAGTGATTTTATTAACATTATTTTCTCTTCCACAAGCAATTTTGAATCTTTATAATAACATTACACTATATGAAACAGAATCACCATTGAATGCTGCAATTAATAATTTTATTTTGAATTTATTTTTACTGCTGACTTATGTAACCAATGGAATGCCATTTTATATCTATACATTAAGTGGCGGAACTATTTTTCGAAAAGCACTACGTGATTCAGTACAAGGTTGCATTCATAAACTTACTGGTCGACGAGGATGAATTATTCTTTTTGTCAATAAAATTTGGTTTTATAAGATCTTCAGTACTTTCATTGATTAGAAACTCGCTAGGGTGTTTTAATTAAATATATCAGGCTGAAAAATTTCTCTTTTAATCACATATATTTTGCTGTGCACGTGTCGATGATTGGTATATATAAAGAATTAACGCAGAATGTTCTACGAATCATTTATGGAAAGCCAGAGACATCATAAATTTTCTTGTTTAGTTAGAAAATCCACCATTTTATACAACAGTGCTGTCAAAGTTTTAAGAAGATTGGCTCTCAACAAACAGGAAGACGCAAAATTTTCACTTTCCTTTCAGAACTTCCGTAACACTCTTTATAATTAAAACCTGTCTCGCTTCGTTGGCTCATATCCTTAGTAATTCTTTTGTATTATTTAATGTTTATTTAATTGAAAAATGAGAGAAAATCTTTTGCAAAACAAAAGTACTAACAGATACAAAAAGTAAATTAAGTATTATCTAGATCTGTTAGATAGTATAAAATTATCAATGTCATCAAATACAACTTTTATTAATTATATAAATCAACTTTCATCTGATCTCAATCGTTATTTATCTATTAGTATTCTTCTATTTGGTACTATTGGAAATATTCTAAATTGTCTTGCGCTATCACAAAGACCTCTTCGCTCAAATCCATGTGTCTTCTTCTTTCTTGCTTCGTCCATTGCCAGTATTATTACTCTCATCTCTGGTGTTTTGGTTCGTTTATTATCTGATTGGTCACTATCACTGGATTTAACAAATACTATTAACTGGCTTTGCAAAGTTCGTATATATATATTATTTAATTCAAGAACAATTGCTTCATGGTTGATTATGTTAGCTACTTGTGATCGATGGTTATCATCATCTATTCATGCACATTATCGTCAAATGAGTACACTGAAAAATGCTCAACGAAATATAATTGCTGTTATATTCTTATCAAGTATTGCATATGTTCAACTATTCTATTGTTATGAAGCTAATTTAACCAATACTCCACTTGAATGTTATGGAAGAAGTGCTTGGTGTCGATTATTAATTGATTTAGAATTTATTTCTATTGTTGTTTTACTTCCTTCAATAATGATGCTTATTTTCGGAATTCTAACTATCTTAAACATACGTAAAGTTACTCTTCGCCAAATTCAGCCTGTAATTAAAACAGGGATTAATCAAACAGTCAGTGCTAATGGGTATTCACCAAAATTGAAAAAATCCGATCGATATCTACTTTTGATGTTACTTATACAAGTCATTTTATTAACATTATTTTCTCTTCCACAAGCAATTCAAAATCTTTACAGTCACATTACACAATATGAAATAGAATCACCAATGAATACTGCAATCAATGATTTTATTTTTAATCTATTCTTTTTATTAACTTATGTAACTAATGGAATGCCGTTTTATATTTACACATTATGTGGTGGAACTGTTTTTCGAAAAGCACTACGTGATTCAATACATAAACTATACCATTAACTATTGCTTTCAAATCATTATAGATTTATTTTCACTGGTAATAACAACAATTTTTAATTCTTCTCTATATTTTTATTTTTTTTTTTTGAAAAATAAAATAGTTTTAAGCATTTTCAAAAAGAAGTGATCGTAACTTATGATAACAATCAAATCTCATTTTAGCATAATTAACATAATCAAAATCTATAGGTGATACTTTTGCTTGTACTAATGCCCAAAGTCCCCATGTTAAATTTACTAACGCAGAAAATTTCTCAATAAGTCGACATAAATCATCATCAATTATTTGTTGATCCAACTGTCGAGTTTGAAAATAAATTTTTAACCATTTTTTTTGCTCATCATAACTTGGATATATACTAAAATCTGCATTTTCAACACCGGCATATTCAACAAAATGATTTGCAATATCAAATAAAGCATAATTTAAATGTGTATATTCAAAATCAATAAATGATATTGTTTGATTTTTATCATTATAAACAATATTTTTAACAAGAAGATCATTATGACATAAAACAAGATCTTTACCATGTTTAGGATTCTGAACAAGTCGAGGTAAAATACGTTCTTCTATTATATCTATATCGGATAGAATTGATGTTAAATCAAATGAATTTTTATCTAATAATTTTAAAAATTGACGTATAATTAATATTATATATGGTTGTTCAGTTTCATCAACAGGTATATTATGAATTTCAGCTAATTTTATTGCAATTAATTTTGAAATATTTTCTTCACGTACATCATCTCTTGAACATGTCTTACCAGATGCAAATTCATATATAATTCCATTATTAAATTGTATAAGAACACGTTGAGAAAAAACACCATGTTCATGAAATTTAATCATTGCATTGATTTCGGCTTGTCGATCAATAAATAATTCTGTTTGAATACCATAGATTTTAATAATTAATGCATTTGAATCATCATCTGGTGTTCGATTATCAAAAATACCTAAGATTATATTTGTAAGACCTTCAGTGAATGTAACCAAACGTGTATTGGATGATGTCCAATCTGATCGAATTGATTTAATTAATGGATAAATTTCATTCGTAATATTTGAATAAGATAAAGTCACATTCTCAATTATTGGATAGGATTTCATGCTAGAATATATTCAAATTAAACGAATTATAAAAATATATATGTTATTTTTCATCATAAAGTGCTTATCTGATTTTACTTACATTAGAAAACAAAAGGTAAAAGAATAATGGATTTTTATCTACCTTCACAACAATTCTTATCAACTGAAGCCCTCGATATAACTGTTAATAATAATAATAATAAAAATGACATTCTTTTCTATTTCTATATGATGTGAAATACAATTATTATCCTATCGATGTTTCATTATCTTCAAAATAGAAAAAAATAAAATCACTTAACATTTTTATTTTATCTATTATAGTATTCTTTTATACGAGTGGTTTTATATAAACCAATAAAAAGATATTATTGATAGAGGACATGACTTAACAAGGGTAGAGAAATAGATCTATTGAAAAAGAAATTATAATGTGTTTATGTAAGAAATATTATTCTTTTCTCACATATTAATGTATATTAATAGATTTTATTACGGATAAAATTGAAGAACAAGTAGGTTTAGATATAAATAAAGATGGACGAATTAACAGAGCACCCGCAGGTGGAGATAATTTATTATAAATGTTTTTCTCTTTTATTTTAGGTCTTATTGGTAAAATTGAACAAGCAACATATATTGATTTGAATGGTGACGGTCGAATTGGTAGTAGTATTCCCTATCATACTTCACAACACAAACATTAACTTTCAGATATCTATAGTTTTGAAAGCGAATGTTATAATTTCTGTTCAGTAGTTTAATCAATTAATTTGAAAAAATATTTTCAAAATGAGCAAATGTAGTGCTACAATTGCTTTTTTGTTTGTGAAATAATTCGATTCGTATGTTTTTCTTATGTAAGATGTGGTCATCTTGAGGGTAGGTGTGTGTGTAATGCCAATTTCTAACATACTTGTAAAAAGTTTATCGGAGTCTGTTAAATGTCCAATTTGTCTTGATTATTACAATGATCCACGTCTTCTTTCATGTTCACATACATTCTGTTTCACATATGTATTACAGAACTAGCAAATCATTGTACAAAAGGTGATGATAGTGATGCAGAATATCGATTTACCTGTCCACTTAAAGATGATACATTTTTGGCTGAACATTAACTGAAAGATTTACCTGTTAATCGAGTCGCTAAAAATATGGTTGAACTCTTATTAGCATCATGCAATGAAAATAAAGAAATTGAAAAGAAAGTTCCTTGTGATTTTTGTACAGAAAATTCTGGTAAACGATGGTGTCTTGAATGTTGTCATCAATTTTGTAGCAAATGTCTTATCGCACATAATAATAAACCAATGCATATTACTGTACCAATAGCTGAACGTGCTGCATATTGCTGTAATAAACATATCAATGAAGTTATGAAACTATGGTGTACATATTGTAAACTTCCTATATGTTCCTCATGTCTTGTAGACGATAATCAACATAGTCAACATCAAGGAGCGATGGAACCAATGTACAAAATAATGAATGAAACACGAACTAGTATTGAAACATGTCTTCAACAATTAGATTGTGCTGAACTCAACTTTATGGCTTTGGCAAAATCTACTGTTGCTGCTGTGAAAAATCAAAAAGATAATTATACAAACACATCAGAAGATTTTACCGATCTATTTCGTTCGTTAAATAGAATGATAGAAGATCGAAAACAAACGTTGTCCTATGAACTTGAAGATCACCAAGCTACGATTTTATCACGTTTGCATCACATTGAAATGAATGTTCGAGAACAATTACATCGTATTCAAAATCAAAAATTGTCTTGCAATCGTATTTGCATGTCAGGAAATACGATTCAATTGCTTGAAACAAATCAAAATATCAGTACCATTTGTAAGGAACTAGTTCATACTCAACAAGAACTAATATCTAGTTGTACAACTCAAGAAACAAAGTTTATTCATTCACTAGTGGATATGACATCAATTGCAGATTTAATAAACAATTTTGGAAACATAAAATGTAATGATGTGAAAACAATAGATTGTCCTATTTTAAATCAAATAATTATTTCTCAACCAACTGTAGCAGAACAAAGATTTTACAATGGATCATTTATATTTGGTTATCGTTTTCATTTTGAACAATCGATTCGATTAAAGTACGTTTTAATACAATCAACCTACAGAAATAATATTACGGCGAGTTTCTATGATGAAACAGGTGAAGAGCAAAAGCAGTTCTCATGTGAATCAATAAACGATACCTTTAAATGGAATATTATATCAACAGATGGAATCGAATTACAAACTGGTCATTCATTACTTATCTGGTCTAGTGATCATGAAGGATCAATTGGTTATCAGCAGAGAAGCTCACGATTTCAACAAGTAAATCCAATTTGTGCTGTCGCTGGAGTGTATGCAGTGAGAGATGAGAACAAAAAGCAAGAAAAATTAGAAATTCACCCGGGTGATTTAGCAATAAACATGCGTCTGATTATTTAACAGTGAAATTGTTTTCTTCTAAATTCTAATGTCTACTAAAATCTGTTTTCATCTGTATACTTTAAAAAAAGGAATTCAATTTTTACCAACACAGAAGAAAAATTTAAAATATCAACTGAAAATAGTTCAACATGAAAAATAAGGGCACTTTGTCGATCTTTATCAATACAAAAATGTACAATTCATAGAAAAGATACATTTAAAGCGCTAATCTAATCAATGATTTCAAGACAACAAATCATACTATACAATTTATATTAAAATATTCTATAAGTACACATCTTCATTCATTGACTATCAGTTATTCTAGTAAAAAATATACAAAATATCCTCAAGTACTTGATCAACAAATTGCTACACATGTTGTTACTGATATTCTTTATGGTATTGACCTATATTTTGTATTTGATCGAATAATAACTGATAATGAAAATCGTACAGATATTCAAAAACTATTGAATAAAATTAAATGATTCACGGTTAACGAAAAAATTATTTCAAATGATTTAATAAATCAGTTTACATTTATTAAATAATTTAGATTTATCATCATCTAATAAACAAATATTACATGATTGGATGCAAATCAAAATAAAAGAAATAAATATGTTTACTAGTCTTTTAAATAATTTAAGCAAACAACAGAATATTATTCTTTATATATTGAATTTCTTGATGATGAAGAATATATCGATAGTTTTCATATGAACAAAGGAATAACAACTATTCTTTATCGAAATGGCTTTGCTATCGATTTTCAAATTCCAAGTAAACCAGGACGACCCTATGCAACAGATTGTAGTATCTGAATATGGTAGTCAAAGTATTCAACGATATAAAATTTATGTTCGAAATATATTAAACTATATTTTTAATACAGATGAAAGTGATATTAGTAAACGAATGGTTCAAATACCAACAAGAAGAATTCATACACCTCTACCAGTTGTAGTTTCTACAAAAGTGACAGAGGAAATAGCTATTCTTGATGTGACACCAGCATGGTTCGTACATATGATTATTTATCTACGTTTCGTTTAATGAAAAAAGAAACAGATAATATTGATTTTGTTGTAGAATTCTTCAAAGCCGATTTTACAAACACTGAAACACTTCTTGTAGTTCTTAATGAACTTATTACTCAAGTGGGTGATCGTTTGACTTTTACAAATAAAGATTTTGCATATGATGATAGTGCATATCGAACTGTATGTGGAGTATCAAATCTTGGTAGTGTTCATTCACTTCTTGCTGGAGAAGGAAATATTCAAAGTGCTAAATTTGCTCTTCATCTTAGCGTTGACTGTGATGGAATAACAAAAACACCTAAAAAACTTCGAGAATTTGTTCTAACAAGTATTAATGATATTCCAATATTTCTCAATATAATAAAGACTTGCGTCGAGTATTTGATATTCGCCGGACTTCATCAATTATGCTTGGGTTCGGTATTACTATGCCTGACATGGTTGAGACAAAACATTCTGCTGAGTTCTTGGAAGAAAAATTGAATGAATCATCCATAAGAAAACGTAATGATATCTTTAAAGATTTATTTTCAGAAGACTATGGTTATACGCTAGAACCAGTAATTCGATATCTACAGTTACACATATCCGACTTAGAACCTAGTTATAATCGTGATTATCCTTTTGCTGAAGAAGCAACACGAGGTAGCTATTCGCATTACTTTCTAAAAGGATGGTATCGTCATGCACTAAAGGTGAATGATAAATATCCAGGCGATCAGAAATAGCTTGGTATGAATAACTCACTAGGTGAATGGGCTGTAGGATATCATGGCATAGGATCAAGTGGTGTAAAAGGCATTGTAGATAAAGGATTATTACATAATTCTGTTGCATATAATCAAAATCCATCGATTACAAATGTACAAGGATTGTATGTGGCAATTCATTGCGAAGGAGGAGCGTCTCGTTACAGTAAATCTTTTTAAGTACCCGACTCTAAAGATGGGAGAAAGAATTACCAAGTCGTATTTCAAAGTCGTGTTCAACCAGGAAAATTTACCGAACATACAAATACTGCTGTGGTTAGTGTTGGAAAAGTATGGCGCGTATTCGATGAAACAGCTATACGACTGTACGGATTACTTTTAAAAAGTTCGTAAACGATTGATTTAATCGGTCTTTAACCTCATCGCCGAAAAATACTTCGTCGAAATGCAGATCGCCGATTTTCGGCGATCTGTATTTCGATAATCTGTAACTTCGGCGATATATATTTCGACAGTCTATCATTTCTAGAATTTCACTTTCGACGAAGTGCCAGTCGGCGATATTGCTTTTCGCTAATCACATATCCAACACAACAACTCGTTATTCATGCTAGCACATAATACTAAGACTTTCGATGATATATATATATATATATATTCAAAGATGAAAGGACGATGAAGACGAGAACGAATGATCGAGGAAGTGACAACTAGTGAGATAGACCATAAGAAAATTTCGGCGATCTCTATTTCGATAATCAATAGATCGATAATGTCTATTTCGATAATATTCATTTCGGTAATCTTTCTTTTCGATGATGTTTGGATTTGCGCGAGTTTCGACGATCTGCGTCTTCGATGATGTTTTTTTCGGCGATGAGGTACATAATCGATTTAATCATTTATGAGCGCTCAACAAGTTTTAGATTTCAAATTTATTAAACAATTTTTTAAATTTTATACAAAGAAAATAATAGAATAAAAATATTTCAATCTTCAAATTTTCCAATGAATGTAACAAATTCAAAAGCAATTTGTATAGGTCTCAATATCAAACAGTTAGGGTGTGGATGTGGGTGTGACTCTGTTGATATCAGTCTCACGATACCTACACTTACCCCTCATACTCACGTCCACCCTTCAAAACTTAAGATTTAATTCTATATAAGTTATTCTTCTTTTTATACAGGAAACACTCTCATAAAGAATTAGAAATATTTATATGTCTGAGACGGTCATTTACACACACACATATGTATGTGTATCACCTTATCAGTCGGCTTTGTCCTTTACGTCTTTATTATTTACAGAGTTGTTCTCTTTACGCGCACGCGTGTCACTGAAAAATAGGATGAATTCAAAAATAAGTGAACGAAACATTCTTTTATTTATTTATCAATTATCCTTTATAATTTCATTTTTATAAATTCAATTGTCTCTTTCACAATTATTATATGAGGATGAGTTGGAGGTAATGCACGCTGTAATATGTTCAGAAGACGTTCAAAATATGATAGAGCTTCCGAATAACGTTTCATCTTATAATATAGACTAGCAATATTGCTGTATGAAGTAACCAAATCAGGATGATTTGGACACAGAGATTTTTTATCAATTTCAAGTGCTTTTTCAGAAAATGAAAGTGCTTTCGAGTACTCTCCTATGTTCTCATAGAAAGCACCGATGTTATTGTAGGGAGTAGCCAGATCAGGGTGATTTGGAGGCAATGCTTTTTGTAGAATTTCAAGCGCTTTTTCAGAAAATGAAAGTGCTTTTGAGTACTCTCCAGTTTGCCCATAAATAGCGCCGATATTGCTATAAGAACGAGCCAATTGAGGATGATTTGGAGGCAGCATTTTTTGTTCAATTTCAAGTGCTTTATCTAAGTATGGTAGTGCCTTTAAATGTACTCCCATCTGTCGATACACGTCACCGATGTTCTGGTAGGGAGTAACCAAATCAGGATGATTTGAGGGCAGCGTTTTTTGTAGAATTTCAAGTGCTTTTTGGTAACAGGAAAGTGCGTTGGGATACTCTCCAATGTTCTTATAAATATTACCGATGTTATTGTAAGGACCAGCCAATTGAGGATGATTTGGAGGCAGCGTTTTTTCGGCGATTTCGAGTGCTTTTTGGTAAAAGGAAACTGCTTTCGAATACTCCTTCATACCGTGATACACATTACCGATGTTGTTGCAGGAAAAAACGAACGAAGGGTGATTTGGAGGAAGACTTTTTTGTTTAATTTCAAATGCTTTGTTACAAAAGGAAAGCGCTTTCGAGTATTCTCCCATGCGGTGATACACCGCACCGATGTTTATGTAGCTAGCAGCCAAATCAGGATGATTTGGAGGAAGACTTTTCTGCCCAATTTCAAATGCTTTTTCGTAAAAGGAAAGTGCTTTCGAGTGTTGTCCCATGTGGCTATAAATTTCACCGATGTTGTTGTAAGAACCAGCCCAATGAGGGTGATCTGGAGGAAGAGTTTTTTGTTGAATTTCAAGTGCTTTTTCGTAAAATAAAAGGGCTTTCGAATATTCTCCCATGGCTCGGTACGCTACGCCAATATTTATGTAGGAAGCAGCAAACGAATGATGATTCAAAGAAAAGCTTATCTGTTGAGTCTGAAGTCCTTTTTCATGATAGCATATAGCCATTTGATAATCACCTTGCTTGAACTTGACTACCCCTAGTTGATGATAATAAAACTGTTTCACACCTTCGTCAGATGTCTGTTCAAGTAGTGTGTTGCACAGATTTTCCGCCTTATCAAACTGACCAACCATCACCAATAAGGTAGCCAGCCTATCCCATCCTGTACCAACCTTTATTTCTTCTGCTAGGTGGTTGGTGAGCACACGAAGTTGCTCGTCGTCATCGCCACTCAGCTCAAGTTCCGCTTGATAAAGCTGAGTATTATTGCCGTTGTCTAACGGTGTAATTGCACCCAATCGAAATACGGTGTGCATCGAGAATAGGATTTCTTCTTCCCCTTGATATTTACTGAACTCTTGAATACACGCAAAAGATGCTGATGAAACAGACGGATTGACGGAGATTTTGAAGAAAACGGCGACGTGGTCGGTGTTTTCCAAAAGACTGCTGGCGAACAGAAAAGAAACATCCTTTTCTTTACTGGTAGACAAAAAGTTATTGAATGATATCAGTCCACCTTGTATGTCCAAAAGTTTATCAAAGTCTTTTTTCGAGAGAGCTTGTCCTCTGTAGACAATAAAGGGCTTCATAAACAAAGTATTGATCTGTTGTTGATGTAGACATTCGATTTCACGATGTAGATCCTGAATAAAGAAGCCCATTTTGATAATAGTGTCGGTTTGCATTGTTCGAAGAGCTCTATTGAGTGTCTTATAAAGCAATGGTTCAGAAGTATACCAAAAAATAGCCGATGCAGGTTCATAATCTTTCTCGAACCGATTAATAATTATAGACGTGCCATACTTATTTGCCCTACAGAAAGTAGTGAAGTCTCGGATCGCTTTTTTGCTGTATTTTATTTCTAGCAAAATCTCTTTAAATATTTGGGTGTACATAAACGTGGGCTCTAGCTCGTTTAGATTGACCCTGGAAATGCTGTTATTCATGGCGACAAAACTCATGGCAATAGGATCTTGATTGTATTGTTCCACGGTTCGGTAAAGACGTTCATATATGGATTTCATTTGGGCATGTACTCCTTCCACTTTGATCCAGTCTTTTGTCCATTGCTCATCTTGATCTTCATTTGCAGGGAAGACATATATAGCAGTAAGATGAGGAATATCATGTATGAGAGGTACTATTTTTTGCCCAAGAGTTCCGCCTACGATGAGCAGAATTTTCACATGATCAACTTCAGTTAAAAAGTCGATAGATTCATCCACTTGGGTGAACATATGAACGTCGTTAACGATGTTCCGTAGACATTGCAGAATGCTCTCGTGGTCGTAATGCAACTGATCGATACTGGAGTTTATCCAGATAAGCTGGAGGTTTTGAACGATATATTCGATGTCAGGGAAGCGGTTAGACAGTGCAGTTGTCGAAATGGTATCATCTGATGAAGTAGTTTGTTTTTGAAAATTTGTTTCATCTATATTCTCTACAACTTGTTGAGAATTTAATGTCGAGCATATTTGTTGTGTTGCTAGAATAATAAGAACAAAAGTGTTGTGTCAAGAGAAAGATTTAGAAAAAAAGTTAAGATATAACAAGATGCATTCTCTTGTCTACTTACGATCAACTCCTTGTGATGGTTGTTGTTGATCCAGAAAGCAAGATTGTGTATCAAAATCACATGATTGTTGTAATGTTTTAGCAAATGTTTCATACTTACAGATGTCATCATCACTAACTGATCGTCGAGCAAATTCCATTGCTTCTTCAAAATGATCACGACGAATTTCTGGCACTGGATCGAATTCATCAGAATCCATTGCTGTTTGTCCATTACGTTGTCGTTCTTTTTCAATTGATTCTCTTATAGCTACTTTACATGCACGTTGACATATTTCAGTTAAATCAGCTCCACTAAAACCGTTAGTTACACTGGCTATATATGACATATCAACATCTTTTGATACAGGTGATTTTCTTAAAGCAGATCTTAAAATAGCCATACGTGATTTATCATCAGGTAAGGGAATATAAATCAATTGATCGAGACGACCTGGGCGAAGAATAGCCGAATCGATAATATCTGGTCGATTAGTTGCACCAATAATAAAAACATTTTTCTTTGCACCCATACCATCCATTTCAGTTAAAATTTGATTGATGACACGATCAGCTGCACCACCACCACCATCACCAGCACTACCACCGCGAGCTTTTGCTATAAGCATAAAAAAATACAATAGACATATTCTTTTATTTCTTCTTCTTAACTTACCAATTGAATCTAATTCATCGAAGAAGAGTACACATGGTGCTGCTTGACGAGCTTTATCAAATACATCACGGACATTGGCTTCAGATTCACCAAACCACATAGTTAATAATTCTGGACCTTTAATTGAAATAAAATTGGCTTGACATTCATTAGCAATAGCTTTTGCTAATAATGTTTTACCTAAAATTGAATATTAATATAAATAAATATATGGCAAACAAAAAAAAAATATCAACGTACCACAACCAGGTGGTCCATAGAAAAGAACACCACGTGATGGTATCATACCAAATTTGAGAAATTTTTCTGAATATTCGACTGGATATTGAACAAGTTCTTGTAATTCACGTTTCACACTTTCTAAACCACCAATATCTTCCCATGTTGTTGTTGGAACTTCAACAATTGTTTCACGTAATGCAGATGGATTTGATTGATTAAGTGCAAAACGAAAGTTATCTTGAGTCACAGCTAATGAATCAAGAATTTCAGCATCGATTGTATCTTCTTCTAAGTCGATCACATCCATTTTTTCTCTAATTTGTTGTAAAGCGGCTTCCGAACATAATGATCCTAAATCAGCACCTACATAACCATGTGGTTCATTACCAGTTTGTACGAGATCAACATCATCACCTAATTTCATATTTTTCGTATGTATACGTAGGATTTCTAAACGACCAACAGCATCAGGTATGCCAATATCAACTTCACGATCAAAACGACCAAAACGACGAAGTGCTGGATCAATTGAATTTGGTCGATTTGTTGCTGCCATAACAATAACATGTGAACGTTGTTTAAGACCATCCATTAATGTTAATAATTGTGATACAATACGGCGTTCAACTTCACCATGTGTTTTTTCACGTTTTGGTGCAATAGCATCAAGTTCATCAATAAAAATAATAGCTGGAGAATTCTATAAATAAAATATTATTGAATAATTTTTTAATCTTAATCATTTAAAAAAAAACTATTATTTATTTACTTTTTCAGCTACCTCAAAAGCTTTTCGTAAATTTGATTCTGATTCACCAGCCAATTTGGACATAATTTCCGGTCCATTAATTAGAAAGAAGAAGGCACCGGTTTCATTTGCTACAGCACGTGCAATCAATGTTTTGCCTAAAATATAAATCATTTTTTTTGTTCTTAATAAAATAATCATTTTTTTTTTCTTATACCTGTGCCTGGTGGTCCAAAGAGAAGAATATCACGTGGTGGTTTTACACCAATTGTTTTAAATAATTGTGGATGTCTTAATGGTAATACAACCATTTCTTTAACGAGAGCTAATTGTTTTCTTACACCACCAATATCATCATACCCAATTTCGTTTAAAGATGCTTCTTCGTCTTCACGTTTAATTGGATCACCTTCACAATGTATAACTGTATCAGGTGCAACAATACAATAAGGGCTTGGTTCAGTTTCAATAACTTTAAATTCAACATCACGCATAGCTGCACGTACAATAAACACGTCGCCTTTACGTACTAGTCGATAAGCTTCAACAAAATATGGTTTCAAATATACTTCAAACAAATTGCCAGTTATTCCCTGTACCGTATCATCGATGGGTAAAACATGTATACGTTTACCATATTTAACATCTTGACAACCTTGAATTGAGACCACATCACCAGAGCGTACACGCAAATTATTCCGTATAGTACGATTCATTTGAATGCGATCATTTGGACAGGTATCAGCGGCAAGAACAATGCAAATTGTTTCTCGACGTTTTTTACCTTTGAGCATAACAGTATCACCACGAAATAATTGTAATTCATCCATTTTTTGCTGTGATAAAGCTACTACACTATTGTCATCGTTAACAGCATCGTCAATAATTAATCGATTAGGACGTTCTTTTCGATTTAATATAGCTGTTGCATATTTATCTTCTTTAGTTGGATCGACTGCTTTAGCCATTGTTTGCTATTTTTAATAAGAAAGAATTTATATGAAATCTACAAATAGAAATTCTATATGGAGATGAACAACGATAAAGGAGATATCATTGAAAAATTTTCCAGAAGAATATTGAGTGTGGGTGTGTGAGGGTATGGGTGTGGGTATGAATGGAATACACTCACACCCGCACTGCAGAATGAAACTAAACTACAATACAATGATATTTTATAGTGTTAATGTAACTACTTCCGTTGTATTCGTCAAATGACATTTTATGATCGAAATGATTTTTATGGGAATATTCCTACTTCGTCATCAGTTCTACGCCGAGCCTTATATTTTCATCTCATCCCTGACTCATGTCTCGTCTATGCCTACGTATCCTTCCAACTTACTGTGAGAGAAACAACAAAATTCAAAGTATTATGACTCCATTTCTCTATCTACTTTCTAGGTATCGTATTTCACTAGTGTACAATAATTAAAAAAAAGAATCGGCTATTGACATTTTGAAATAAGAAAAATCCCATTATTTGAATCGGAAAAATGAGTAATCGAGTAATTGTGAGTTTGTATAGAACCGGGCGTTTAACGTTTATTGTAGAACAACAAGAACAAGAACGATAGAGAAAGAGAACGAGAAGAATACAACACATATTCGTATCTGTGCGTATACATATATATGAGGGGAAAGGAAATAACCTTATGTATATGTAACAGAAGAACACAAGGAATGTTTTAACATCATCAGAGGGAATATACCAATATGTATATTACTAGATATATTGGATATTTCCTACAGTAATGTGTTCTACATGATAGTAATACAAAGAAAAAGAATCACTTAGTGGCATTTAGAGATAAGAAAAACACCATTATTTAAATAAAAAAAATGAAGAATCATGTTATACAGGATAGAAGTACAGTGGAACTTCTCTTATGTAAAAAATTTCGGCACAGAAGAAAATCTTTTACGTGATTAGAGTGATTACTCTGAAGAGTATTTGTAAAAAGTTGAAGAAACTACAATTCTTTTCTATCAACATAATTCTCGTTTAGTCATCAATTCGGAATTTTGTCCGAAATCAATTCTTTTCATTTATTTCCAAAGACACAGGAATAAGGTGTTTTTATTAATTTTGTTTAACTGATGGACAAAAACAGCCAAATGATAATTTTTCATTGAGACATTGCGTAAGTTTGTATTTGTTGAGGGTGTGGGTGTGGGAAAGAGTATAGCACAAACAACACCCACACCCACATCATCAAGATGCATGCTGTGCTATGACAACTGATAAAGCATTTTTTTCTGTGTACTTTTTCATCCTCACTATTGTAAAATACTTATAACTTGATTCACTGTATAGATTCCAATGAATTTATTCCACAATGATTTTTTTCCCCGTTCTGTTTCTTATATTAAAACATGAATAATTAATTTTTTGACGATATTTGGTAGAATGTCGGATACAATGCCATTGTACATTGAAGAATTAGCGAATGAAATCTGGCTTGAAATATTTGATTATCTTGATTGGATCAGTCTTTTTTCGATGTCTTATGGTTTAAATAAACGAATCAATCACCTACTTATGTGTATTGGAACTTTTTCAATACGTTCGACTTATTCAAAAGTAAATTCAACATTTTCAATTAACATCCGATCATTCACAAAATGAATCGTCTAGTTCATTTTCAAGATTTGTTTCATTGATTATTAATACATTTTCTGATGACAATTGTAGATGTACAGATGATTTCACGAAGACTATCTTTCAACAACATTGTCCTTTTCTTGAATATTCACATATACAATGGACTGTGCTTGGATGTAGAATACAAATGACCGAAAATGTATGTACATTTCATTTTCCACTGTTCCATCACCTATACGTGGCTAAACTTCCTTTTCATCTTGCTATTCAACTATTAAATCAATGTATCCATCTTCGTTCTTTTCCCGCGATACTCTACGACTATCCATCAGAAAAGAATGCAACAACATTATCTACTCGAATACCTGACCGAATTCGAATAGGCCTTTCATTACTGACAAAACTTAGCTTAGGAGAAGATAACTATGAGGAAAAAGAATTGTCGAGCACATTTCTGGAATTTTTCTTACCATGCTGTCCTAATCTACGTGTATTCAAGTTCGATATTCGTTTTCAAACATTGCCTTTTTTACTGCTCTCAATGTGGATATCAAACATGAGTTCAAAAGTGAATTTAGCGCTTTTTAGAATTCAATCTTCATATAAAAAATTGAATAGTGACGAGAACTATGATGAACACAATATATATTTTTGCATTGAACATGAGTTTGTTGTATTATTTTTTTTAGTTTGAATGTGGGTGTGGTGAATGAGGGTGGATGTGTGAGTAGGAATAAGAAGAACATCCACAACCTCAATTTTGCTGTTTCATCAAAGTCTTGTCCTCATTTATATATTTCTCTTAAAGTATAAGATACACTTCATAGTTCTACATTAAAACTACTACGAGCTTACTTTTTTGACATATTTTTTCCTATTCATTAGAAAAAAACTTTGAAAAAACGTTCGCCTGATCTTACAATATTTTTTTCAAAATTTTCTTCTCTCTTTCCCTCAACTTTCTTCTATATATATGCTTGCTGAACCGTTATTTGCGATTTATATTCGCACCTTCGTAATCAACAACAGCAACATAAAAATTCATCTAATTGTCGTTGCTTCTATCGCGATCAGTTTGTCGACATTGAGGAACTTGAGCAGTGGAAAAATAATATTGGATGTGCTTTCTGTATTAAATCATTTTAGTCGGCAAGTCGAGATAAATCTGTTGCTAAAATTTTTACCGGAGATGGTCATTGAAGAGGAAAAACATATATTTTCTTTACGTTCACTCTTTCGTGTTGACAAAGTCGAACAAATTCGTTCAGTTCGTTTGATTATTGAACCATACAAAAACATAATAGGTGAATATTTTTTTATATACTCACGAAGATGAACAATCCGCACTAGAACAGCTACATAGAAACCAATTTCGAACATATTGTAAGAAGCAAAATATAATTAACACTTTCGATGGCTTTAAGAGTCTGTATCTTCGTTCTGATCGAGATTTTATTCTTTTCGAACACGGCATGTACACACATAACGCAGTATCAACTTCATTCGTGGTCTCTTCAATGGACTTGAACAAATAGAGGATAACGACGAGTACAAAGATCATCCGAGAACTTTTTATGGAGATCAGATTATGTCTCGATTTGCATTTAACAAAATTCGAAAAAATAAAACGACGGATTTCGATACAGCAGTTTACAATGCTAGTGAACTTGAGCGAATATCTTGCAATTAGATTCCAGTGATTTTTTATATAACTGTCGATACCAATCTTTCGTATCCAGTACCATTTCGACAAGTTGAACGAGCCTCTCTTTTTCCATTGAAATGAAAGTATTGCAGGTATAGCTAGCATATGCGCACATCAATCTCACCCACACCCTCAGTATGATCTTAAAAAAATAAATGCATTCTTTCGTGCATAGTTTATTTATTTTAACGTTAAAATCTTCTAGACAATACTAATAATAACAATCAAAAAAAAAGAAGAAAACATCATTTCCATTTTAAGTAAATATTATAAAGTTGTCGATGAATTGTATAATTCAATAAAAGTTTTTCATCATCAATCATTTGTTTTAATTGTTTTATCATTTGTTCATCTGCTGTTATTATATAAATACATAATGTATGTAAATATTTATGATGAT